CCTGTAATCCCAGCTACTCGGGAGGCTGAGGCAGGAGAATTGCCTGAACCCAGGAGGTGGAGGTTGCGGTGAGCCGAGATCACACCATCGCACTCCAGCCTGGGTAACATGAGCAAAACTCCGTCAAAAAGAAAAAAAAAAGAGAGAGAGTAATTAGAAAAATATCAAAATAATAAAGATAAATATGCAGTGTCCTATTAAAACGTAATATAAAACTTTGATAATTAAAAAGTATAATACTGGAACCAGAATAACACATATAAATCATACGAAATTTCAAATCAGTTGGCAAAAATGAATTAGTCAGTATACGGCGTTGAAATAGCTGTCTGGCCATTTTTAGAAAGATTAGATCGCCACCTACCATGGCTAATGACAAAGTCAGTTTTAGTTGGATTGAGAAAAAGAGCACTTTAAACATAAAAGGAGTAAAAGAATATTTGAGTAGCACCTTCATGATTTCAGTAAGGAAAAGGCCTTTCCAGGAATCACACCAAAAGCAGAAATCACAAGGGGAAAAATTAAATTATTTATATAAATAATAAATATCCATAATCAAACTTAAAAAGCAAAATTACAAATGGGAAATATTTCTATATAACAGGCAAGAACAATATCCTTTTTATAAAGAAGTCAGGCAAAGAAATAAAAACATTCTAATTGAGTGAATGGGCAAAGGGCAGGAACAAACTATAAAAAATAAAGACACCGAAATGACACCGGGTGCCGTGGCTCATGCCTGTAATCCCAGCCCTTTGGGAGGTTGAGCTGGCTGGATCACTTGGGGTCAGGAGTTTGAGATCAGCCAGGCCAACATAGTGAAACTCAGTCTCTACCGAAAAATACAAAAATTAGCAGGGCATGGTGACACACAACTGTAATCCCAGCTACTGGGGAGGCTGAGACACGAGAATCACTTGAACCTGGAAGGCGGAGGTGACAGTTGAGTGGAGATCGCACAACTGGGTTCCAGCCCTCTAGCCTGGGCAACAGAGCGAGACTTCGTCAGAAAAAAATTAAAAAAAAAAAGAAACAAAATGAATAGAAAACACATAGAAATGTTCCTTTTGACTATTAATTAAAGAATTGAGAGATTAAACATTTGGTTATAAAATTTTACCAACCACATAACAAGATGAAAAGGAAGAATTAGAAGTGTTAGGACGGTATAAAGAAATAGGGACTTCTGTAGTTGCAGTGAGAGCCGTGAACTGTAGCACTTTTGAGAGAAATGTAACAGTATTAGTCAAAAGTTTATAAATCTTCTAAGAGTTTATCCCAAGGAATAACTAGAACCGAGAAAATAGATGCATATAAATTACTTATAATGAAAAACAATGGGAAACAACTTAGAAAATAATCGGCTATTGATAAAATTGAAGTGCGGTGTAACGATTGGAAAAAATGTCATTTATCGGTGCTTTTCCAACTGCACTTCCCACACTGACCCCCAGAGGGCTCATTTTTCGGTCCTGCCCCAGGGCAGGTCTGGGAGCTGCTGGCTGTCTCACTTTGAGTTGAGGATACCTGAGCTTTCTACACGTTTCTACACTGGGTTCAAGATAAAATTGTATTTGAAGAAAGGATCTTACTACCAGGAAAAAAATGCCATTTGTACAGGTTCATATTTCTTACCAGGAAAAGGCGGTCATAACAGGCTTTTCAGAGGAAAAAAAGGGTTTACAGGGTAGCATCTGTATCACGATCTCATCTTTAAATGTGTAATCTATGTATTATATATGCATGCGTTATCGAAATTTAAACTTGCTGTTTCTAGGTGGTGCCACTATGGAGTTTTTTCCTTTTCGCTTATTTTTATTTGCTAGTATTTCTGTAATCAATGTGTGTAACTTATACGATTTTTTAAAAAGATAAATGAGTTACGTGGAAAAGGGGAAGGCTGAGCTGCAGAGAAGCGCAGAGCTGGACAAGAGCACAGGGAAGAGGGAGTCTGACTTTCCATGGGCGAGACACACGAGACAGTCCACCTCATATGCAAACCGCACTTCCTCTGTTCAGTCCTGGATCCTTCAGCCCTGAGAAATCACTCTTCATGGCACATGGGCTCAGCTGCCTAGAAGGCCACCAGTCTCCCTGCTGTGGCAGCCACATCACAGCCTAAGAGAGTGGGGCTTTCCCAGCATAGCCCAGCTCCAGTATGAGAAAAACAGCTCCAAGCCTGTACCCTGGTGGGCCTTTAGGGAAACATCTTTGGAGACCTTGGTAGAGGAGATCCTAAAGCATGGTGCTATACTCTTTAATCTGTTTCCCTGTGCATCCCTCGCAAAAGCGAATGCCGTATATCCATCAAGTGGGAACCTGGGTGGGGACCAGGAGTGACATGTTGCCCTTAACCATACCCGGGGACCAGAAGGAGATGACATTCGAATTCCAACCAGTGAAAGAATAAGAGCACAGGGGCCAGCTATTAATGTCACCCAGGTCCATAGAAACACATCAGGCTTCACACCCTCACCATCAAGAAGAACCCCCTCCAGTACCATCATCTGTCCTATTAACCCCACCCTGCTTCATTCCTGATCTGAACTCCCACTGCTTCTCTCTACGCCGGTTTTTCTCTATTCCTTTAGGGACTAGCTCCCCTATACCATCAACTTCCTAATGGGAAGCTCCCTCTACCTCCTGCCTCCTGAGGCGGCCGATTTCCTTAAGGCATCTCAAGAGCATACTCCTCAGCCTTCTTTCTTAGGTACCTCATGGCCTGGTGGTGTTGAAGACATTTCCCTACCTTTCCAGACCACCTCCAGGTCATTTCTCCTTCAGTATTGCATACGCATGCCCATTCTGTTTCCCTGGTGCTCATGCTGAGTCTAGACCACCTTCTACAACGCCTCCCCCGTGTCTGTGCCCATCTGGCCACAACTCTCATCCAGTGAAGAGGCTGACACTATTCTCAGTCTCTCCTTCACCTTTCATGCTGTCCTAATCACAGGTGACTCGATGTCCACATAAACTGTCTAGTGAGAGGGCTTCACACGATGACCCACAGAGCTCAACATGTATCCGGCATTTGAGAGCACTGTGGATCAATGACTACCTCTCACCTGAGAACGCTGAGGAGAGGCTGGTCGGCGCTGTGGTCCTGGCCGCGAGGGCCCATTGCGAAGTTTGCCTGAGGCTGTGCTTAAAAAGATCCTGCCCCAGATATTTCTGCCAGAGGCCTCAGAAGAAAGAGGCTGCAGGTCACCAGGGAGGGATGGAAAGACACTGCCCAAGTCAAGCCCAAGTCAAGCAGAGAGACCCCACAGGAGAATTTCCGAAGGACCCAGGAAAGTTCCTCAGGGGACCAAGAATCAGCTTTGGAGGCAGCCAGGCGCAGAGAGCACAAAGCCATCTGATGACAGCACCAGTCCAGCGAGAACTGTCCTCTTCCACCTCTGGGTTCCCTGTACCCCAGCTCTGGAGAGACCCCAACATGGTTAGCAACCTGGGGGAGGACGAGGAACAGCAGATGAGGACAGAGTGGAAGGGCCGGTCCCCCTGCCCAGACTCCAGCTTCCTCCGTGAAGCAAGCCCCCCTTAACTTGAAATGATCTTGGGAATTTGGGGGTTTTATTGTTATCTAGAATAAAACAATATTTCAGTTAATTACATAAAAATTTGTATTACTAATTTGTATGCAATTAACTAAATTGATACAATGTTTACCACTTTATGTGTCTGTCACCTATGAGTCATCACTGACACAAAGGGACTTGAGTTTCCAAACGTGGGCCGGGAAACACTCCCCATTCCCAGTGGATTACTGGTTGCAAGTGAAGAACAGGGACGATCTTAACTGGATTGGTATTGTAATTCCACGCCAAGACTCTCGCTTGCTCAGTGGGCCAATAACAACTCTTTTCTACACAAATCTAACATCTCTTTCCAGTGCATACAATTCATCAAGAATAGGACGCTAGATATTATTCTCCTAAATATTTCGGGTTTGAGATTTCTATGGAGTCCCCAGTTTCCTCTAGATTTTTCACACTTCTTGTAGCCCCTTGTCCACAGCCAACGACACCACCGACGACATTCCACCCCCACCCAAAGACACACTGCTTTCCGAGTTGAAAGTAGCAGAGCAAGCCGGCCTTCTGTTTCTGGAAGAAGGCCCCAGGGGCGATCAGCACCGAAAGCACAGCCAGGTGAGGGACTGAGGCCAGAGCTTCACCAGCAGCCTGACCGAAAGCCTCACACATAACAATGGGTGTATCTTAAAGGTACTTGCTTATATATGAATTATCTCTCTCCATTCCCATCATAACCTGCTGAGGTGACCAGAAAGGTATTTTTTATACCGATTTAAAGAAAAGATGAGGCTGAGACTGCATGGTTTAGCCAAGGTCAGAATGTTGCAACTGAAATCCAGTGTGCAGACATAGCTACCAGGTTTCTGGGCTGGGTTTGAATGAGCCCCATTCTCCGGAACAAAGTTCCATGTTCTTCCTTTGCGTTATAAGTCCACTCGTTTTCTACCAAAAAATAAAAAAGAAGAAGGAGAAGGTTCCTTCCCATTTGGCAAATAACTCTCGAAAACTGTCCCAGTGCTTTGCAGTGCTGGGTACAGTGAAAGGGTGCCACACAGACCAAAGCCTGCAGCCCTGCCTGGTACCAAGAGCCTGACTGCGTGTGGGTAGACACAGCTCAGCATTTGCACCGTGACTTACCAGATGTGCAGAGCACACACTGAGCTCCCTAACCCTGCAGAGATGCATTCCTCAACATCTCAAGTCAGATGGGTAAATCAGGAAAGAAGCACTAACCTTAGGCCAGGCAAGGCGCCAGCTTCTGTTCAAGCTTCCCTCTATCATCTTCCCATTGATGCTGTTTGCAGGTACTGTCTCACTGTTTACATATGAGGAAACCGAGGCTCTGGGAGGTTCTGTGAGGTCCAGGGTGGCTGCCCCACGGTAATCGTTTTCTATAGCGGACTCCATTGTGCTCTCGAAAATGGTTGCCACATACCCAGGCATCCCTCTCTTTTCTTTGGGCAGAAAAGCAAGCCAGGGTCCTCATCGTGATTGCCTGGGGCCTGTCTTTCCTGTTCTCCATTCCCACCCTGATCATATTTGGGAAGAGGACACTCTCCAACGGTGAAGTGCAGTGCTGGGCCCTGTGGCCTGACGACTCCTACTGGACCCCGTACATGACCGTCGTGGCCTTCCTGGTGTACTTCATCCCTCTGACAATCATCAGGTACGAAGCTGTCATGCCAGGACCACACAGAGCGGGGACAGGTGGGCTTTCCTGCCTCACCAGCTGCCGCTTTCCTCCCCTACAGGCCCATTTTTCCTGGTGCTTTTGGGAGAATTGGCCAGGCCTCAAGATCTGATCAATAGCTACCATGGGCTAAGCCTAGTTTCTTCAAAGTAGAGAAAGGAGAAGGGAATTAACAATTATTGGATATATACTACAGGGCATCGTGCTAAATAGCTAACAATTATTGCATTAGCCACAATACAACCCTGTGAAATAATTACCATTGTTCCAATTTAATGAATAATAAAACTCAAGCTCAGAGTGGTTAAGTAACTTCCTCAACATAAAACAAGATTGACATCCAGGTTTTTCTGATTTCGTACCATATTATTTCTCTTATATCTCACAGCCTTTCAAATACAAGGCCAAACACCAGTTTTAGGGATTTTGTAAATGAAAAGATAGATATACCTAAAACAAACTGAACACAAAACTCAGTGTGCACTAATATGCTAAGATGTGTATGCAGTGGAGTCAGATAATGGCGGGGAATATATTTTGGAAGCCACCATTGAAGGCAGTAAGGATTCAGGTAGGATGAGGGAGAAGTGGGGAGGAAACAGACTGTGATCACCAGATATCGGAGTGAGTATGAGGGCAGAGTGGACAGGAAGGTAGTGCCAGTGGGACAGAGGTTGGCAGTGAGCTCCTTCCAGTGGCTGGAGGAGGCTCAGTTGTGAATGGCCTTGGCAGCAAAGTCATAGCATGTCCTGTGTCCTGCAGCCAGTGGTAAGCCATCGATGGTCTTTCAACAGCCTGGTCAAGGTAGGGTCTCACCTGGCCGTGTGGCAGCATCACCCTCTGAAATGGGCTCTGTATGTGTGGATGGGGTGGGAGACTACAGGGAGAGACCTGGCACATTGCGAGTATTCTTAGGCCACGGTGATCCTACACCTTTAAAGTGCTTCTAAGCCTGCCATAGTGTGTCATATAGCACGTCGTGCGCAAAGGAAGATGATCCTTTGTTTTTGATAGTGTAAAGAGAGCTGTGATAAAAATCCTTGTACTTAAAATTGTACATGAGTCTCCGGTTATTTCCTCATAACTCATTCTAGAGGAATTACTGCATCAAAGGTCTGGATCCAAGATGATGCGCATTTTAAAACTTTTGATGCATAGTCACAAGCTGCCCTTGAGAACAGGTTTATTGCTTCTTGGCCCTTTAGCTAAGATGAGTTGTAGAAAATGTATATTCTGAGCAACACCATACGGGCTCTTGCTTTTTGCTCCTTGATCTGATGGAAAGTAGGTACTATTTCCTTATTAAATCTTTGCCAACCTAAGAGTTTAAAGAGTATATCATTGTTTTGATATGCATTTCTTCTATTTTGAAGCTGGTAGCATGCTTCTCAAGTGTTTTCTCATATGGTGGGAGTCATGTTTTATTGCTCATTGTTTATCTTTAGTCTCATAGAATACTAAAGCCGGGACAAATGTTATCCGTCATATGGCCAAACCCCTGAATTATTCCTAAGCGTAGACTTAAGGCTAAAAGACGCTGACTGCCTTGCTCCCCGTCAGAGACTGAGAAGGGCAAGCACAGAGTAACCCCAACAGCCAGCCCAGCAGGCTTTCTGAGATGGGGTGTTGTCTAGTCACCTCTGCTGAATGGACAACTTAACACCTACACTTTATTTCGACTTACTGTCCTCTACTTCATCAAGCTGAGCTGAGAGGAAGCTTGGAAAAGAGAAGGTTATTTAGACAACGATTCAAGGTAAGTCGCAGCACGTGGGAAGGGGCCCAGGGCAGAGGAGACAGGCCAGTGAGCCACAGCTGTCAGAGAGCATTTGGAAGGAAGCGGCTTGTGTCATCCCAAGCAACTGAGGCATCGATTTCAGTGCCAGTGCATGTCCTGGCTTCACTGCTGATTGATTTCCCATCAGTTCAAGAAATGATGGTCAAAATCCCTGCTCAGCAGAGCGGATGCTGCAGCACGTGGACCACACAGCTCAGGATGTCCTGTGTCTATGATTTCCCTATTAATTTGGGCTTTTTTTTCCACCAGGACTTCTTCTAAACTTGCCTACAGGCTAGCTAGCATGTTTTTTTAGTGTCCTTGAAAGGGCAAAATACAATGTGTTTGCTGATTGAAGGAAATGATTTCAAAAGCTGGTTTCCCTCAGTTCTCATCAAGCTAGGGCCTCTGTAAGGCCTGCTCCTAGCTCCTGGCTTCCAGCTGTGGTCCTCATGAAAACCCAGCTGTGGCCTCCAGCCATCCTTGGGCTTCTCTGAAGCATTTCCTACCTGACAAGAGGCTGCCCTTCCATCACCTTCCGTCTTCCATGGCTCCCCCTGGTAAAGAAAGAAGTCACTGGGGGACTAACATCCTCCACCTCCTTCAGCAACAGCTCTCTTCTCTAACAAGGCCAGGCCCTGGGGGGAATTTTGTGAGGAACTTGTTTCCAACTAGTACCCGACATAGGTGCTCCAATTTCATCTCGGAGATAAGGTTCAACTCTTATTTCTTCTTTATTGTCTATATTCTGGCCCCCTGGCCAATTCTTACTCAGTTCTCTGAGTAAGTTTAAATTCTTCATTTCGAGCTTAAATAGACAAAGAAAAGAGCTCAAGGAAAGTGTTCAGTCACGTTGTTCATCATGCCTCATGCTCTTCATACATGCTACATATGTATATATATCTTTACCAAATTGATAGAAAAAACACATCATAGGTGTTTTGTTTTGCATTTCTTTCATTACACATGAGATTAAATGTATTTTATATGCTTATTGTCATTTTTGTTTTTTTAAAGTACTTACTAGATTGGTGCAAAAGTCATTGTGGATTTTGTCGTCAAAAGTAATGCCACTTTAATTGTTTAAATGTTTTTATTTTCTCTATTCTCTATCTTTAGAGATATTCTTTATACAATAACCTTTCCCTTTTTGCATATGTTGCAAATATTTCTCCTGGTTTGTCATTTGCCTCTATAGTGAGTATGGTTTTATTTTGGTTTTGGTTATTGATAATAGTGATTGACATAATTAGGAAAAAAGGAGAAAGCACAAATAACTACCTTAGTGGCTTTTCTACGCTGAGTACCTCATTGTTTTACTTATTGCCTAGCTTCACATGCATTTGGTATCTGCTAGGACAAGATCCACTTGTCATTTTCAGACTCCCTAGCTGCTTCATGGTGAGCTGCTGACCTCACCTGCACTCCCAGCTCCAGCCATGGAACAAACACCCTTCTCAGCCATGAGCATCACCCCCATGCTGAACGCTGTGCCAAACTCACCTTGCCTTGCTTCTGGCCGATTAGTTCACATGGCTTGTGTCTCATTTCCAATACCAACTCCACAGTAGAGCTGCCCTTGCCAACCCTGAACCAAGAGGCACCTCAGGTCCTCACTCCCTAACCTCCAACCTCACTTTGTCCATGTAGTCACCTAGACTATGTGGTAGTGTGACTGTATCTCATGAGCGCAGGGACTGTTACCTTTTTGCTTCTGGATTTCACATCCAGCACACATTAAATATTAGTGTGACTATTAGATTGAATGAATGACATTCAATCTAATATTGTTGGTGTAACATTGGTTGGTGAATAGTAGATTGAATGAATGACATTCAATCTAATATTGTTGGTGTAACATTGGTTGGTGAATAGTAGATTGAATGAATAACACAATAAATTGCACCTAACAACAGATCTGTCATGTCTCCCTCTCTACTCTCTCTTTCTCTCCCTTTCTCTCAGTCTCTCTCTCTTTCATACGCGCGTGCACACACACACACACACACGTGTACACGTCCTGCTAATACAAACATTTCTGGACATTTTATGCCTAGATACATTTTTGGCATATGATAGCTCCTCCATAAATATATGAGAGAGGAAGGAAGGAAGGAAGGAAGGAAGGGAGAAAATAATGAGTAGGGGGAGAAATGGAGAAAGAGAGAGAGAGAGAGAGAGGCAGTCGTGTTGTTGGTGGCAAACTCTCATGAGAACAGTGTATGAATGAAGGTTTACCTGTTCCATCATCTGCTAAATCAGGCTCCCAGGAGTTGAAACCACAGTGACTGACAGAAAAGGCAATACCTTGTTTTCTGGGTCAAAACAACAGGAGTTGTTTTGAAATTCACTTGACGTAACTGTCTAATTGTTGCTGGGGGGGTTATTAGCCCCAGTGTAATTGCTTTACTTTAGCTGTGCTGCTTTTCTTGCTACCTAATTGATTTCTCATTCTCTTGTCATTGCCATCTCTGTAAGATAAAGGTAAAAGCAGTAGAGAATCATGGCCAACAATTGAAAAAAAATAAGTGGAAAAAAGCACATTAGTCATGGATCATTGATGTGTCACATGTGAGAAAACTTTATTTGTTTGCTTAGAAAATGGCATCACACCGTGGGAAAGCCCCATGCCAGGTCAGTGCAGCCCTGCGGATGGAATACACGGCCAGGGTGGGTAAAAGGGCCCAGGGACGTGGCCAGCACTGTCCATCAAAGAGGATCACAGGGCCCTAAGTCAGTTCATCACATTAGGAAGGGAAAGGACACTGGTGCTGGTATTGATGTACGTATCATGAGATATGGTGAGACCCTGTCTCCACAAAGACAAAGTGATGCCATAGGTGTGTATATTAAATTATCTGAGAAGTGGCAAGAGGTGTGTGTCCCTACATTCCTAAATTACGGAAGACGGTTGTGGCTGAATTTCCAGCATCCCTTCCACTTTCGCCCTCAGCCAATCACAGCAGCTCCTCCCTGCACCGTGGCAATAGTTTAGGAACAGCCACGTGATCCCATTTCAGCCTGAATGACCACTCTCCTCTGCACTTAGAAAATCTTTTTGTATTTCAGATCTCAGCTGAATCCTCGCTCCTCTGGGAACACTTCCTAACCCTAACCCAGCCACGTCAGGGCCCCTGTGACACACCCTGGTCCCCCTTGCATTGTATCTTCACAGCACCTCACTCCTTTGCAATCACGTCACTCCTGTCCTCATTTTGTTACCATCTCTTTCCCTAAGATGTGAGCTCCATGAGGAATGGGACCTTGTCTGCTTTGCCTACCGCGGTATCCACAATAGTTTGTCCAGTTCCTGGGACAAAGCTGGTGCTCAAATAAATATTGCAAAATTAATTAAAGAAGGAGAGAGACACTTTTGGCCAGGAAGAATCCTTAAGGGTCTTGGTAAGAGGAAAGAAAAAAGGGTATTATGAAACAACAGGCCAGTTCTCCCTCACCCCTTCTCCCCATGCTTGGCCAAGCACAGGGCGTAGCGCCCTGCTGAGACCCCCAGAGCACAACTTCATGTCACCCTCAAGCCCCACGAGGCAAGGTCGGGAAATCCAGCTGGCGGAGGTGGAATCTTAGGCCCTCTCTGGCTCTAAGGTCTACAGCTCCAAGGCAGTGATGGGCATCTTTCAAGTCCCCAACCCCATGCTGAGCCCTGAGGGGGTCAGGAAGGGGGCACTTTTGGTTTGATGGGGCACTTCTGGTTTGATGGGGCACTCTCTGTCATGTCTTGTGGGGAGAGCGACATGTTTGTCCCGTTTCCTGGACACTTCCTGCATATGATCCAGAAGCAAGGCTCAGGATCTGGCCTCAGGCATTCTCCTGGATGTCTGCAGGTCTTGCTCTGGTGGCTGGCACTCCAAGTTCTGCCACTGCCACACTACCACGAGCTGCCCCTATGAAGGAAGTGAAGGAAACAGGCCTGTGTTGGATCCTCTTCTAGGAAGTCAAGAGATAAACCAGCCAGGTGCAAGAAATGGGCACTTTTCTCAGCCTGGGCAATCCTTCAGTTTTCCGATTTCTAAGAAGCTTCAAGAAAGCTAAGCTCATTTCTTTAGAGAGTGAAGATAGAGCAAAGATATGGAGGAAGTTATACCCAAGATGATGAAAATGCTTTTCCTCAGTTCTGTTTATAAGAAAGAGCTATTCTAGGTCCACTCAATCCTGAAGACATGACCACCATGGGTAGACTTAGAGCAGTGAGTGCTCTGCCAGCCCGGGGGTCCCAAGGAAGCTGGAACTGAATACCAAGGAGAAAAGGGCAGCTCAAGAAGGCTTCATGGCAAGTTGACGTATGCACGATGGACCCAAAAAAGACAAAATTGCATTCCAAAGAGGGGGCAAAGCAGGCATAGAGAGATGGGAAGCACTGGAGCTCACATTCCTCCAAAGCGCACAGGAGTTATGGAGTCAGGGTTGGTTTGATTGGCTAACCAATACAGGGAAAGGTGTTGAGAGACACTGGGTAGAGGAAGCCAGGAGGGTGAGCATGGTGGAGGAATACTGTGAGAGGCTTGGACGCCCTGTGAAGAGACTGGATAGCATCTTGTGGAAAGGGGAGCTGCTGGATCATGAAGCCGGGGGATGGCTCTGTGTCCTGCAGCTACAGCCTCAATGCTGGTGTGCACGAGAGATGGTAGCAGGGTGGGAGTGTTACAGGATTGCGCCAATAAGCAAGAACGAGATTATAAGAGGTGCTCATTCTGAGAACACTTATGCCAAAAGGTGCAATGATACAGAGATTAGCGTGGGTCCCTCACAAGGATGATGCACACATTCGTGAGATGCATCATATTTATTTTTGATGGGTACAGACTTTCAGTTGAGGAAGATGAAAAAAGTGTGGAGCCAAATGGTGGTCATGGTAGCACAACAATGTGGATGCAGTTAATGCCACAAACTGGACACTTCCAAATAATCACAATGGCCTGGGCACGGTGGCTCACGCCTGTAATCTCAGCACTTTGGGAGGCCAAGGTGGGAGGATCAACTTAGCTCAAGAATTTGAGGCCAGCCTGAGCAACATAGCAAGACCTCATCTCTACAAAATTAATTTAAAAAATAGTCAGGTTCAGTGGCACATACCTGTGATCCCAGCTAATTGGGAGGTTGAGGTGGGAGGACCACCTGAGCCCAGGAGGTCAAGAATGCACGCAGTGAGTTGTGATTACACCACGACACTCCAGCCTGGGTAACAGAGCAAAAGACCTTGTCAGACAAACAAACCAAAGATTAAACGGTAAATTTCATGCATATTTTATCACAATAAAAGTGGTCATCAAAAGACTGGATAAAGAGGAAGGTACATATTATGGAGTTATTTTTTGGGGACAATCTATAAAACTTATCTGCAAGCTGATTGATCAGATAAAGGAAAAAGGAAGAGACAAAGCCAAGTGTGGTGGCTCACACCTATAATCTCAGCACTCTGGGAGGCCGAGGTAGGCAGATCTCTTGAGCCCGGGAATTCAAGACCAGCCTGAGCAACATAGTGAAACCTTATCTCTACAAAACACACAAAAATTAGCTGGGCATGGTGGTGTACACTGGTATTTCCAGCTATTCAGGGGGCTGAAGTGGGAGGTCAAGGCTGCAGTGAGCTGTGATCCTGCCACTGCACTCCAGCCTGGGTGACAGAGCAAAACCCTGTGTCCAAAAACAATGGTGACAAACAGTAACGCAGACGTCTCTTTGATGCATGATTGCTGTGCTCTAAGTAGTAGCCTGGTTGGCAATAATACCCTAGTTATTAGGTGTTTGCCAGGCTAACAGAAAAGCTCTTACTGCCTTCACTGATCTGAGTGGCCCTAGGTAAAAAGCAGGTGACTTAGGCCCAAATCACTAAATCGTAAGACATTTCTCAGCTCTCCCCTATATACATGGTTGATAGTCACAAGTATTTGATTTATTCGTCAGTTAAACATTGGGGTTGCAGCCGTCATCACCGCAGGCATTCCGTGATGGGTGTAACCTTCCCTTGCACAGTATTTCACTTATCCAGGGAAGACGTTTCCCTATTCTAGCAAATAGCCAACTTAGGGTTGAACTCACTAATAACGTTTTTCTCATTTTTTCTTTACTGCAGGCATACAAATCTCAAAAAAGTCCCTGGGCAGTTAGATGTGAAGGAATGGAGATGCTCCCAAAGCCCCTGAGCTCTCCTGGGGCACTCAGAGGGGCTCGCTGCGCAAGGATGGGAAAAGGCAATGAGAGGCGGGGATTTCAGCACGGCCATTAATTAAGTTACATTCTAAAGATCATTAAAAGCAATCAGTGCTTCGTCAGCTACTGCAAACTGAAGCTCTGCTTTTTTTTTTTAACTAATGATTCTGAAGAGGGAAGATAGGCAGTTTTAAAATAAAGCATCGCTTTATCCCAAAGTTTTTAGTCAAGGCGCTTAATGTAGTCAAAATATCAAGTAATAGAAAAGAAGAGTACAAGTTTTTCTATTTATCAAAGAGTACTGAGGACACAAAACTTGCTGACACTTTTGAATCATTAACACTTTGTTTTCCTGTTAGGCACAGATTAAATCATGTAAGAATTGGTGTAAAATAGTGCACAAAATAGGCAAAAAAGAGGAGAAAGGAAATTACACCTTTTAAGTCTGCACTAATTTTTCAGCACTATACTTGGCACTTTAAATATTGTCACATCTGACACTCAACGAGTTCAAGAGGTCTGTATTGTTAACACCGTTTTGTAGAATCTCAGCGAAGGCTCACTGCAGTCGTCACCTATTACTATACAACAAATTACCAGGAACCTAGTGGCTTAAAACAAGATACATTTATTATCTCACAGTTTCTGTGGGTCAAGAGTCTGACCACGGCTTAACTGGGTCCCCTGCTCAGGCAACGCAGCCGTCAAGGTGTTTATCCAGGGCAGGGGGTCATCAGAGGCTGGCCCAGGAAAGGCTCTTTTCCAAGCTTTGTCAGGTCCTCAGCAGAATTCATTCACTTGCGGCTGTGAGGTTCATGGCAGCTTCTTCAAAGCCAGCAATGAATGACAGGCACTGCACTCTGTGTAACCAATCTCATCCCCTTTGCCACATTGCATTGATTAGAAGCAAGTCACCAGCTCTTCCCACGCTAAAGGGGTGAGGATCACACAAAGCCATGAATGCCGGAGTCAGGATCATAGATGCCACTTAAAAGACTGTCTAAAGTCAGGATTGAACAACAGGCAAGTAGCAGAGGACACCCAAGTTTTTCTGACTCCAAAGCCTGTTTTTGGATTCTAATCCCAGCTCTCCCTCAAACCGTTTGGGTTGCGTTGGGAAAACTGCAGTAACTTTACCAGGTCTTCGCCTCCTCACTTAAGGAAGAAGTAACTCCGTCCAGTGGACCCTCATGGTCATTTTCAGTTGTAATTCTGTAAACAGCAAGTATGGGGGTGGGGCAGGCATGGTTAAAAGATCCCTCCCTTCACACGTTGCACTCAGGGAGGTGGCAGTGGTCTTCTTCGTGTCCTCACAGTAGGGATCCACCAGCCACTGTAATATTCCCTTCCGTTCTTTCTGCAGCGTCATGTACGGCATTGTGATCCGAACTATTTGGATTAAAAGCAAAACCTACGAATCAGTGATTTCCAACTGCTCAGGTGAGTCTCTAATCTGCGTAGCCCAATTCTTGGTTAATTTGCTTCCACAGAGATTTTCCTCTAGCAAATTTGAGCTGGGGCTTCCTTGACAGACAAGCATACAGGATCATATCGGGACCCAGCCAGCAGACCAGACCCACCAAAGGCTGTCACAGGTAGGCTCTGTCTTCCCCCAGGAGACCTCCCTGAAGTCTAGGAGAAGGAAGGGGGGACATTGGGCCTGACCAAGCTATGCCAGCAGAGAGTTAGCCTTTGAGCTAGGACCCAAGGGTTACCCCAGCCTTAGGTCTGGCAGAGAAGCACCTTGGAGGACACAGATATGAAAAGAGAGACTGTCCAAGGAGCACATCACACCTTCAGCAAGGATGAGGATCGTCTTTCTTTTTACTTGAATTTTCAGATGCGTAAAGCTGCCATCTGTTCGTACAAAACTCTTGGACCCTAAGCCAGTACAGGCACAGTGGTCCATGCTTTCCCAGCTGCTCTGACATACCAGTTCAAACCAGATCAAGCCTAAGACCACCTACTACAACCCTTCCCCAAATTCCTTCTCAGTAAACCTGAATGCCGAGCATCTTGTATGCAATAGACTCTGAGCCCTGGAAGCCTGCCCTGTTCCCAGGAAAATACTACTGGACCTGACTAAGGTCAACCTGGAGAAGACACAGCAAATCAAAGGGCCACAAGAAGAAAGCGCCTCTAGTTTTCTGTTTATTAGAATGGGATCGCTCTGCAGAAGGAGACTGGTTCCGCTCAGCTTCCACACCCCTCCCATTCCTTGTGCGCGCACACACACACACAACACAGGCACATACACACATATACACACCTTCACACACTCAGTCTCACACACACTAACAATGCATACTCTCACCTGTACGCACATACACAACAAGCTATAGCACAAATATCTGGAATAAAAAGCTGCTTTGTGTTCCAGATGTGCCACTGACAGCTGGGCCGCCTGGCAGTCATGTAATCCCTGGGTTCCAAGACGTCAAAACAAGTGGATAGACTGGATTCTCCCTAAGCCCTCCTCTTTTCAGACTGTGAGCTAAACTTTTATTGGACCGAGACAGATCTTTTTCTCTCCCTCTTAAAGCTGCTTTTCCCAATAAGATTGTGAGGCCACCACGAGGATACACAAGTATTATTGCTCATTGATAACCTGTGTCTCTTCCCTAGAAGAATGAGTAGACATGTATAAGTCTGGGTTCTTCACCTGAATTCAGTTCAATTCTGCTGTGCTCTTCTGCACGTCAGGAGTGGCACAAGGGACTGGGGATGGCAAATGAGTGAATAGCACAACAGTCTAGGGCCTTGGGTCTTGGCCCTGGCTGCACAGTACAGCTGTCTGGGGTTTTAAAATGCGCCAAACTCCAGACACCATTTCCTGAGAGATTCTGATTCACTCCATCTGGAGTGGGGCATGGACATCATTATTTCAGAAAAGCTCTTTCGGAATTTTCAATGTGCACCTGGTCCAGTGGGACACACAGTCACAGGTGGCAGACCTTCACACTGACTAACCAGGGTAACCAAGAGATGCGCTGAGGCTGCTTGGAAGTTTTGAACCCACGAAGACCCAGTCATTCAGCCTGGGGCTAATCCCAGCCCCCGTGCAGATCCTAGCGCTTCCCCTTCACTGGCACAGTCTCCACACCCTGGTTTTTCTAGAAGAGCAAGAGCAATCAGAGAGACTAAACACAGGTATATTCATTCTATTCAGTGCAGTTGGCTTTGGTTAGAGGTTAGAACGTTCCTCTGAAACAACGTGGATGAAGTCATCCTTCCTCTATCAGATATCAAATAAATGCAATAAGTACTGTAATTATAATACCATAATCATTGAAAGAGAATTATATGGACAGGGACATCCAATAAAACAGAAATGCTAAAGAAAATCTCAGACAGTTAGAATGCGATGAAGTATTTTGAACTGATAGAGAAATAGAAACTGTTTAATTACTAGTGTTGAGACAACTGCCCATATGGAAAAATCATATAGTAAATTGTTATATCATATGCTACAAGGAAATATATCCCTTATGAAAGGAATAACAAAAGAAAGAGTGAGAAGAAAGAAAGAGAAGGAAGGAAGGGAGGGAGGGGTGAGGGGTGAGGGGTGAGGGAGGGAGGTGGGGGGAAGATGGGGAGAGGGAGAGAGAAAGAAAGAAAAGGAAGGAAGGGGGAGGGAGGGAGGTGGGGGAAGATGGGGAGAGGGAGAGAGAAAGAAAGAAAAGGAAGGAAGGGGGAGGGAGGGAGGTGGGGGAAGATGGGGAGAGGGAGAGAGAAAGAGAAAGGAAAAAAGTATAAGAAATGTTGTTTATAATCAGGAAAAACTGGAAAGATCTGAACACCCTATAATGAGGGACTGAGTATAATAATGATATAGCCATACAGTTAAATACTACAGCTCTAAAAATTCTTTTATAGAGTATACTTATTGCCACAGAAATATTTCTTTAATATATTAGGTTAAGAAAAAGAAAGCAGTATGGTATCCCTTTTATAAATATGTGTACATAGGCACGTATTTATCAACACGTACATGTATTTATAAAAAGGGATGCCACGCTTTATAGAATATACATGTGCGTTTACAGATAGATGACAGCTAGAGAGAGAGAGATGGAAGATGTCAAGAAGCTAAATGTTGTCAATGTTATTGAGATTATCTCTGAGTGGTGGAATTTTAGTTGATTTTTATTTTCTTCTGTTCTCCACTTAACTATATTTTAAAGTTTTCTACAATTACCTGTATCATATCATTGAAACAGTAACCCTGTGGCCTTTTAGCCTGAGTAAACAGCCAATATTATTCTAGATGTATAGATATGTATGTTCATTTTTTAAAGCCATCAACTCAGCGCCAACAAACGCATACATTTGCAAAGCACTTCTCTGAGTAAACGTCATGCTCAGGCCCTCCAAGGCCCACTCAAGGCCATCGTCCATTCGTCTCTCAACACAGGCTGACAGGACAGAGGGAGCAGCTCCCGTCAGCCATGCTGGGTCCCGGCAGCCATGCTGGGTCCCTTCCATGTGTTCTTCCGTAACCCAGTTCCTGTTTGTCCCATTTCAGCCAGTGCGCATTGCCCATTTAACCCACCTCCCATTTGAGAATACTGCACTGGCAGTGAGATGCACTTTTTTCCCCTAAACTGGAAATGGATTAATACACAGTTCCAGGTGGTGGTAACTGTCTCTCACAGACAGATGACGGGCTCAAAGGTTAAGCAGTTTGCCTGTTTTCACAGGTAGCACGTGACACAACCGGTATTCGGATGCACACATATTGAATGCACACATAAAGGCAGGACTTTCTAAAAATTAAAAACACAAACTCAGGGTCTTGGGTGTGGCTTCCCCTCCAGGGCACTTCCTCCAGAGCTCTGCCTTCAGAGAGCTATTCCTACCTCATCTCCTGAAGGTTTTGTTTTGATATATTTAAAATCTAAAGGCTGAGTCATGACTAGCAGCGTGGAGACCAACTTTGTGGAGGTAGCCGAGGTCTTCCTGTACTTTCAGATGAATCAGATTGGTGTATACCCCTGTCTTGTGATTTCTACCAGTTCTGTGGGTCTGACATGCTCCTCGCCGCCTATCCCTCTGAGCACTCACTCTCACTGTCTCACCTCCTACAGCTCTCCTGTTCCCTCCACAGCAGCACCGCCCTTGCTCACCACCTTCCTCAGCATGCCTCTCCCAAGGGTGGCTGAGCTCCAGGCTCTCTCCAGAGTTCCATGTCTCCTGCTACTACATAAGCCAGTCCTTACACTCTTGGGTTCCCCTGACTTCCAGCCCTTGAAATTGTACAAAGCCACTTAGAGCTCTGTTTCCCACTGACAAACAGTATGCCATTACTCCCTCCCAAAGGTAGAAATGGCTGCCACCAGTTTTTGTTCTGGTATATAATTTTGTATCTCCATTATATCTATTTTTTAGTTACCATAAGTGACCTCATCCTGGAATGAGGGCAGCTTGTATTCTCAAAAGCTCATATACTCTCTATATCTTATTCATAAATGAAACGCGGTTGATTTTCCATCTGTCATTACAGCCAAGCAGCTCTGGAGTTGGCAGGTAAATGAGATCTCCAGCTGTGTCCGCATGCCAGGATTATTGCTTATCAACAAGGGGACATTAGCCATGATTACTGTGAACAGAAGCTCGTTTTGTAAACACTGGCCGAAAAACTCAAGCCATCCTTAGTGCAGGAACCACTCTTCTTGCTGACAAATATGTCTTTTTCTCCCACTTAAAGGCTGACAGGAAAAGAAAAAGCATTGTACTGTAAATAACCTAAAGACTTTCCCATTAACAAACGTGGAGGGCAAGACGTGGAGGAGATGGGGTTCCCAATCTTGTATGTTATCGTTCATAAATGAGCATATTCTTGATGTCCAGGAGGACCTACTTCTGCAAAATAGAACATTTACTGCATAAGAGCAGTTAGGCAGGTGTGCCCATGGAACAGACAAAGTATAACATATCTCATTATAACCAGGTCTAACAATTATGGCTTGGTAGATATGATCCATGCTATATCCAAATCTCATGTTTCTAATTAAATGAGGCACAATGGAGTGCAGAAAGACGCTACAGATTAGGAATTGGGTTAGGGCCCTATCCACTTTGTAGCTTAAAAAAACTAAACGAAGTCCATTAACTGCTCTCCATATCGGCTTCTTCATCAGTAACTGTGAATAAAATGACTTCTCTACAATTAATTACATTTAATAAAAGATGTGCCAGAAAAACATAAAGATACAAATAAATGAAGATTAGGACGTGTTCGTGCATAAGATTCAATGTTATAAAGATGTCGAATTTCCCCAGCTGATCTACAAGTTAATAAAGTTCCAATCAAAATTGAGTTGAAACATTTTATTGAACTTGACAAGCCTATTTTAAAATGTACATGGAAAATTCAATAGCCAAGAGTAACCAAGACATTCCTAGAGATGCAGAACAAGGTGGAGAAAGTTTGGTTTACC